CTAAGTCGTTATGGTGAGTAAACGATACAGGATATTGTTCAAATATTGTCGACAAAGAAGATCTAATGTTCTCAAAAAATCATTCCTCTCTCCTATTCAAACAATGGCTTTGATTTCTAGCTTACTTTTTTAAGGTTGAATAGTAGCACATGAATAGTAGCACATGAATAGTAGCACATGAATAGTAGCACATGAATAGTAGCAACATGAATAGAGTAGCACATGAATAGAGTAGCACATGAATAGAGTAGCACATGAATAGTAGCACATAGCACATCAAAATTCTATAAAAAACCCAATTTCGCACCTTGACCGTGGCCTATAATTATTAATTAGATTAAAAGCTTTGTAAATAGACAAAATTAAACTCTAAAGAGAAAACTTTATTTTAAAATCTTTATTTGATATCAATGAATTAAATTAACAATTAAATTCAAAGCGATCACCATTTTTAACTGAGCACACTGTCAAGCGTTTAGGTGGCGATCAAGTAAGCATCATCGAGTTCATCCCAGACTTTCTAAAGAATTTCTTCAAATTTTCAACATTTTTATGTGGTTTTAAGCAAGCTTTTGCGTCAAGAACGGACCAGATAGAATAATCCATCAAATTGAGATCTGGCTGGGTGGTCATTAAGAAAAAGAGATGAAATCGGGAAACTTTATTTCGCGAGAATCTTGGACTTTCTTGGCTTTATGGACCAAAGCCCCGTCTTCTTGAAATATCGAAATTTGATTTTTGAAATGCTTTTGTGTCTAGTGCAAAATTTCAGCTTTGAGGAGATCGAGATAGTTAATAATAATAGATAATAAGCCACTGCACTTATAATTATGGGCCACCGTGTAGTGTGCGATGAGGGAATATGTGCAGCACTATTGCTTGTTAAGTAACATTACTTGAGGTAGCCACCACTTGGAAATTTTGGAACAAAGTAGTAACGTTACTTACAAATCGTGGGACATTTGATACGTGCCCGCTCCTTTAGCCATTGGCAATATAACTTTGAGCTCAAATTTCTTGGTGTTGGGCTGTCCAATTTAAATAGTTTTTATACCAATCGACAGAGGAAGACTTGGTGCATCGAATGAGACCAAGAATATTGAAATTGAACAGCCCAACACCAAGATATTTGAGCTCAAACTTAGATTGCCAATGGCGAAGGGGGCAGGGCGCGTATCAAATGTACGATAACCTTACAAATGCCCTTATTAAAGTTCCCCCAATACTGTAGTTGATTCATTCCTCCTTTTGTTTCTTTTCCGACTTCACTTTGTCAGCTCCCAGGTCAAACGAACTCAATATTCCCTGCATTGACAACATTGCCGGTTTCCTTGCACTCGGCTCAACATCCGTCACCTATACTGCAAAAGTGAGTTCACGAAATCAACAACAGCGCTATTGCTTGTTTAGTAACGTTACTTGAGGTAGCCACCGCTTGGAAAATTTGGAACCAAGTAGTAACGTTACTTACAAATCGTGGGACATTTGATACGTACCCACCCTTTTTGCCATTGGCCATCCAACTTTGAGCTCAAATTTCTTGGTGTTGGGCTGTTCAATTTAAATAGTTTTTGTACCAATCGACAGAGAAAGACTTGACGCATTTAATGATATCAAGAATATTGAAATTGAACAGCCCAACACCTAGAAATTTGAGTTCAAAGTTAGATTGCCAATGGCAAAGGGAGCAGGGCGCGTAGCAAATGTCTGACAATCGTTGAACTCGCCTGGCACCAGCTAGCAACTTGTGCTGGGAAAATGTCGATGATCATGGCACCGATAGAGGCTCCTTTTGCCATTGGCAATCCAACTTTGAGCTCTTGTAGCAGATCGACGGTATTTTGAAATTTTTCAAATAAAAAGCTCATTAAAATCACTTTTTGAGCAAGCTTTTTACTTTAATATTTACTTGCTTTTCCGGTTCTTCTCGCCTTAAATCGATTTGTGGCTGTTTTTTTCAATTGGCACTTTTATCTGAATATGAAAACGATTCAACGATGCCAGTATTCGATTTTGATTGTTTACCCTTTAGTGGCAACTTGCCCGTTACTCTTTCGTTCGTTTTCCGCTCAAGATCAAAATCGCTTATGTTTTTTTTTCAGCTCCTTTTCGTTTAAAATGGCCCGGTAATGGGGAAAACTATTTCACGTTGGAAACACCCAATTATTTAGCTTCACAATATTTACACGTATCTTTATCGGTGAGTTCAAAAAAAAAAGAAAACAACAGGAGACGCATGCTCATCGTTTTTCATGCTTTCGTTGACCAATTGAGTTTATTTTGGTGTATTTTGAAAGCTCTGCCGTAAATACTGTAATTGGACTCCATAGGGTACTATTTTTTTCCCTAGAAATCAATAGAAACATCCGAATCAATGAATTCATCATTTTCTTGATCATCAACTCCTAAATGTCCTTGAAATCCTGTCAGTGCAAGCGGCTTCAAAAGATCTTTGATTTGCTTCTCTATCCGAGCAATTTTCGTCGCATGTAAGTACAATAGATTAAATATGATAGCTAAAGATAATTCAATCGATTAAAGACAAAGATATTTAAATCAATAAATCGAACCCGCAATTCTGAAGAAATCGGTCCATCCGGCTTGAAAAAATTCATCAAATAATCTTCATTTCCATTTAAGACATTGCCGATCTCACAAGCTTTGAATGATTTTTGAATCATTTCTTCGGTAATTCACCCCCAGACTTCCAGGATCCAACCCAAGTAGTGCTCCAACCGATTCGATGCACTTGCTCGTCAAAGCATCGAGCTAAAATTTAAAATCAACAAATTTAAGAGATAAAATTAAAAATACAAATAATTTCCGAAAATAGATGAAAATTTTCCGCTTTAAAAGCGTTGTTTGTAATTAGGTGTTAGGTTGGGTAATTTTAGAGAAATCGGGGTCCAATTACAATCTTTACGGTGCTCTACAAAACCATTTAAAAAGTAAACTGTTTTGAAAACAGTTATGAGTTCTTAAAGCACGGTTTTCCCGTTTAAAATATCCGGAAAAGTCAAAGGTATTACTGGAAAAGAAAATTTTTGCTCTTTTGCAGTATGTCGGCTACACAGTGCTCGGTATTTGCTCTTTATTCGACTCGTCAACATTTCTTTTGATTCGAAAAAGGCAAAAGGTTTGATCGATCGATCGATCGTGATCAATCATCTTTAAATAACGTTTATTTTCTCCAACAGAACAAAGCCAAAACTTTAGAGTCATCAAGCAACGTTTATAAGTCAAAAACGTCTCCAAAAAAATTACATAATAGCCACTCAGGTTTGCAATGATTCTCAAAAATAAACAGTAATCTTTTAGTTAATGTGCAACAATTTGACGGTGATTTGTACAACTTTTGGGCCAAATGTTTTAGCGAAGATAGTTGCGAAACCGTCGTCATTACTCTCGTTTCTCTGTTGGACGGGTATTTGGCTGGCCTCTTGCGGAATGGAGGGGTAAATTGAGAGTGATCAAACGATCAACGATCAAACATTTCCTACAATCAAACGATAATCAAATGCATAGAATGAAGAAAAAGTTTTCTTACTTACATCTGCATTCAGAATCGCGTTGAAACAAACTGAAAATTGCTTTAGGTAAGGGTGGGGCTCTAACCAAAAATTAGCTCACTTCTTATCATTGTAAAGGACACTTAAGAGAGCCAAATTTTCAACTTCTTTCCAGTAATCACTTGTAATTTCACTTTCAGTCTCTGGTGTACAATTTTCTTTGGCAAATACCAAAAGAAGATCTCGGAAGCAAGAGCCGTTTTTGCGATCAAGGCATAGTAAACAAATCTCTTCAAGACCTTTTAAATAAAGATTAGAAAATGGTTACACAGCTATAAAGCAAGATAAAGACTAATAAAGAAGTTATACTTTGTCTTATCTTTGTTAGAATTGTTGCTGGTAGAATTGTTGCTGGTAGAATTGTTGCTGGTAGAATTGTTGCTGTGAGAATTGTTGCTGTGAGAATTGTTGCTGTGAGAATTGTTGCTGTGAAAATTGTTGTTGGCTGTTAGAATAAGTTGTGCATTTGTAAAATGTATAAATATTGTATATCAGATTTCTCTTGGCTCAATAACGATTTGACAAACCATATTCTCTCTAATAGTAGTGCATCAACTGCAGCCGAGTTGATGCACTACTATTAGAGTATTTTACGGTTTCTAAGTTTTCGCAGAAGCTCAACTCTCTAATCCCCCACAAGATCTCATCGTCAGCTACATTTTCCGACCGCACATCGATAGGTTCTGATGAGCGCTTTTAGAGATTTCGAGGAATTTAGGCGACCCTCAGGGTGCACTACTATTAGAGAGAACACGGTATTCAGGGTAAACATCGAGTTGGTTGATTTCACATCCACTACCTTACCCATTATTCTTCTCGTTTTCGGAAACAAAATCCTGACTATCCTGTAAAGTTTCGGTTTTTAATAGAGAGTATTTCCACAAACCCACCCAGACAAGAGAATACAAATTTCTGGCTCATACCGACTGCTTCATTGGCAACAATTAACGGGTTCAACTTGAAGAAACTTCTTCAAGTTGAACCCGCTAACTGTTGCAAATGAGAGTCTAGTGAGTCTAATCCGAGATGATTGTGTAACTTATGTATGATTCTGTAACTTATGTATGCTTGTTATGTATGAATTGAAGAGCATTCAAAAGCTGACTTTCTTTTGTGAGAAACAAAAACTTTTAGCAACAAGTTTTTAAAAACAGTGTGCCTTTCCAGGTCTCTACAATCAATTCACTGGATCATAGCCTGTTTCACATTAATTGCCTATAAAAATTTATGAAATAAGTGAGGAACTTAAGTTGATTAAGTTGAGTACTAAGTCTTTCACCTGCTTGTTTGTTTGTTTGTTTGTTTGTTTGTTTGTTTGTTTGTTTGTTTGTTTGTTTGTTTGTTTGTTTGTTTGTTGTCTTTAAACGTTTCAATCTCAAAATGTTTTAATCAACTTCATTTATTGACTTTAGAAGCTTTGTTATTTTTTTAAATTGTGTCCACGTCAAGGAGAAGATTCTGAAAATTGGTTTTGTTGGCAAAAAATTAAAGTAATCAGTAAACAAATCACCTCATTTTCAGTGACCCGAGAGTAACTCCTTGAAGCGGATGTCGAAAAGAGTTTGTCTACAAGATTTCCAATCACTTCAAGACCATTATTATTGGAAGCTAGCATGTAGGGCTGAAATCATGAACAATAAAGCCAGATCCAGATAAGAACTCTTTACAAACCGATTTGGATAAGGCTTCTTCGCGTCCAAGTGAATTCGAATCGGTTACAAGGAGAGAGCATTTGAAGGAATCGGCGTTGATTAGTTGATGGACCTATAAAAAGAGACACTGCTGGTAGAGTTTCTGTGCTAACGTATTCGTTCTGTGTTTTATTGCAATATTAGGTTGAACAGGAAGTTACGGCCCTTGGGGGTGAGGGGCTACGACAAAAATTCAACTTTACGGTCTGATCGAGATTTCCAACAAAATCTGCTTTTTATGTTTTCCCCCATGCCAGAATGCACAAAAAACAAAACTGTGCCGAGGAAACGTTTTTAGAGAAAGAAAAATGAAACAAAACCGTCAGGTCGTAAAGTGCACCCACAACAAGTGCATTGTACGATCTGATGGATCCGCTTCTTATGAACTAGTCGATATCCTCCGCATTTCCATCAATAACTATTGGGTGTGCAATTACCGGCCTTCTAAATGATTTTATTTAACAAAAATAACATAAATAGTTAGAAAAATTAATTGTTATCGGCATATTCCCGCCCATCAATAACTGATTGCCATTTCTTGGAAGACGATCGATTCCACGAGCGAAGAATAAACGATCTTTGGAGGCCCACGCTTACATCCAAGTCACAATCGTTGTAGATCTTATTTGTTTGCCAATTTTTGAGCGATCGATTGACGTGGTAGTCCGTTGGGGCTCCCAGTTCTTTGAGATCGCGAAACGCCTCGGCAGACCACCCTTTGGTAGGGCCATTCAATGATATGGCGAAGATGGATTGTTGTCGACACGCATTTTGTTCACAAGATAACGAATATTAAAAAGAAACAGCTTTCAAACAAAAGGGAAGAGGGAACCCAATATCTTGGCGAGAAGCGTCAGAACATAATTCAAAATTGCCACCAAATTGATCAAATTTCAATTCGTTTTCCACGGGAATAAAGCCGAACTCTCTTAATTCGTTGGGTCACACATTCGGGTTGACTGCTTTGAAGCGTCTGTTTTAACGAGATCGGCCATGCGCATTCCATAAAGAAAAACATTAGTAAATGAAAAGAAAAACATAAAAAGTTAAAAGAAATGTAATACAATGTAAAAATAAAAGTAAATGTCACCGAATGTGGTAGAAAATGAAAATTTGGAAATTTGAAAGGATGGATTTGAAAGGAATTGAAAGGAATTTGCGAAATTAAGTGCAAATTGTGTTTCAAATGCTAATTTTGACCCTAGACCGCACTTACTGTGGGTGCACTTTACGATCTAACGGTTTTTTTCATTTTTCTTTTTTTAAAAACGTTTCCTCCTCATAATTTTATGTTTTTTTGTGCATTCTGGCATGGGAGAAAACATAAAAACCAGATTTCGTTGAAAATCTCGATCAAACCGTAAAGTTGAACTTAGACGAGGCTATTATTACAGCTTTTATGATAGTTAATGTTTTTTATTTTAAAAAAACCACACGTTGATCGGCTAATTATTCATTTATAAAGGAAAATTTCAAAAAGTAAATATGGCTACTTAAAATATCCTTTTGAGTGGACTTACATCTATCTAATCTAAAAAATAGTCAACCTTTTCGGATGATTCATTGAGAACATTGACTCCATTGACAGCCACAATTACATTCCCATTTCTCAGTCCACTTTTCCAGGCGGTCCCCTCTGGGTCAATTGATGCTAAAGTTTTCGATTTGATTTTGAACTTTAAAGAGAGATTAAAATAAACAACTACTACCGTATTCTTTCTAATAGCAGTGCATCAACTGCAGCCGAGTTGATGACTATTTTACGGTTTCTAAGTTTTCCAAGAAGCTCAACACTCAAATCCCCCACTAGATCTCACCGTCAGCTACATTTTCCGACCCCACATCGATAGGTTCTCATAAGCGCTTTTCGAGATTTCGAGGAATTTAGGCAACGCTCAGGGTGCACTATTATTAGAGAGAATACGGGTATCTGTAATAATCGAAGAGCAGTAACGCATGAACGAAATGAATGAATTTGAAATGAAACAAGCTTTTATACTGATTTCATACTCGGCGCTTACTAAATATCTAGGATTTTTTCCTTTAAAGTCTCCTTTAATTTTCACACTTTAGGATTGAAGCCCTGTAAAGTCTTTCGATGGGGAATTGCCACAGCAGCTCAAGGCCAGGGTTGTGCCTGAACCGGTGTGGGCAGAGGCAAGGACCGAGAAATTTTGAATTAGGCACAACCCTGTTCAAACTAGTCAGAGCTAACAAACTAGTCAGAGCTTTGAAAAAGGTGAAAAAATTACTTACAAATTTGGTGCTCGTTATGCACGGTGATCACAATACAGCCATACTCCTGGAAATACATGAAATTGACGTCTTTTTATCACTTTCACCAACCTCATTTCTTGTTTTTCTAACAAGAATGCAAAGTCGACGAGATGAGCCTTCGGAGTTCATTTGAAAGCTTCAAAAAAAGAAAATACTTTCAAGCAAAACAAAAAAGATCAAGCGGATCACCACAGAAAAAGCAATTGAAATCGAAAAATCGTTGGAGACACCACGAATCAATAAACTCTTTATTTAGTCAGCTGATAAGAGGCAAGTTTTTGTGGGCAAACATTGCCTTTTGCATTTGTTTACACAGTTCACTTTGATTCGTCTGGATCTTGACCTAAGATAATCAATTTGAGAACAGAACAACGCAACGGGTTGTGTGACCCAACTCGGCCAAGGATATAATACTGAATTGTAAGTCATGCTAAGTGAGTCAAACCAGTAAATGTAGGAGAATTAAACCAGTCGCATGAGCGAAATTTTTGATTTCTCGTTTGTTTAAAGAAGTTTAAAGAAGAAGAATGATGTTGTCATGTTGATCTTTTCTTTCATTCAAAACTATTTTCAACAATTACGCTTGTCTGCTCTTGTTTTCTCTTCAAGATGTCAAGGAGAAAACCGTTTTCAAATTCACTTAGCATGACTTACAATTCAGTATTATATTTTTCGTCGAGTTGCGTCACACAACCCGTTTCGCTGTTCTTTTCTCCAAATTGAGTGATCCGAATTGGTCACAATAGGCCAGAAATTAGAAATAAGCATTGTATTTGCAGACATTTGAAGTAAGCAATGTCTTTATCACTGATTAATCTTGGGATCACTAATATCACTGATCTTGGTCACAAAACCTAAAAATTCTGGACTTTCAGAGCCGGCTTTGCTGGTGTAGAGTGTGAAGAAATGAGAGATATCTGCACGGCCATTAATCCCTGTAAAAATAGAGCAAATTGCATGCCATTACAATTGAATATGATGTATTTATAATAAAAATCAAACAAAAAACATGTAGATCATTTCAAATGTAAATGTTTACCGGGGTAGGCTAATTTTCGCAATTTTTTTCTTTGCGCAACTCGCCATAACTTCCTTCTAAGCCGGCCAATCTCTATGATTTTGGTTTCATTTTGTAGATCTCAATAAGTGCAACAAAATGAAACCAAAATCATAAATATTGGCTGACTTAGGAGAAAGTTATGGCAAGTTGCGCAAAGTAGGCTAATTTCCGCTGGGCCGTTGGCGCAACTTGCACTTTCTCCTAAGTCAGCCAATCTTTATGATTTTGGTTTCATTTTGTTACACTTATTGAGATCTACAAAATGAAACCAAAATCATAGAGATTGGCCGGCTTAGAAGGAAGTTATGGCGAGTTGCGCAAATGATTCAGTTGCGGAAACTAGCCTACCCCTGTTTACCTAAATATTTGTCAAACTTGATCACTTAAATGTTTCTTTTCTTTAAATCTTTAGAAAAACACAACTTTGGAAAATAAATGACCTAGAAATTGGTAGTTATTAATTGTTAAATACAAAATTTTGAGAATTTGCCTCAACAAAAATTGAAAAATATTATTTTCTGTCGAAGAAAACACTCACAGAAAGCGATTATTTTGTGAAAAGGATTTCTAAAAAGCGTAATTGAGTTTGGTCATTTGTTTTTGTTTTGCTCAAATGCTCAAAAAAAGGAAACCATCAATTTACTGAGTTCTTTATAAGCAATTGATCTTTTATTTTGACTGAAGGCTAAAGACTTTTTGCATAAATGCTATCGAAATTAAAATCCTTTCATTTCTTTGATCTTTTTCTCGTCATTCTTCTAATAATTACTTTTACTGGTCAGTTTCTGGAAGCAGCTACAGGCTGTCCTGTAGGCTAAGCTGTCCCAAGATTTAAGCAAAAGATTAACATTAAAATATGTCTCTCTTAAACATCATATAACACAAAATTGATCTGACAGGATGACTGCGAATGCTAGCGACTCACTTCTGATGGTCTAGCTCAGCAAGAACTTAATGAATCCGTATGAAACTTTTGCTGGTGATTTTTGAGTATATCTCCTTTAGCCAAGCCCATTTCCGAACTTATTGGTACTTCTAGTATCTTTATATAATCTTATAAAGTTGAGAGTCAGTCGCTGTAACACTCAACTTTTTCGTGCTCAATCTGGAAACGTGTTCAATCACTTACTCCGGTTCTATTTGGAAGAAATCGTTTCCCATTCCTGAAACAAGTCTCGAAAGCACCCTTTGCAAGAAACGGTGATTTCCGGGTTTTTGTAGCTAGACCATCAGAAGTGAGTCGCTATAATTCGCGGTACACTGATTGTGTAATGTGTAGACCTAATTGTATAGCTATGGTGATATCAAGCAGCGTTGTTGCAAAACTCAGGATTAAACCAGTCTACAGGAAACCAGAGAATTTCAAACGACTTCAATCTGTCTTTTCAGCTACTGAGGTGCTGCTTGAACGCACTTATCACTGGACACAGTTTTGGTCTCCGCTCGGTCGTCGATTCAACGCTTCCGATGATGCAATTTCTTTGGCTTATGACATTGCCTACACTTACATTCAACCATCGGTTTGTCAAATCGAGTGCTGATCAATACAAGTCTTAGATCATTGTTCTTAGCATTCCGACGACAGCAATTGCTGCTATTTGCACGCTCACCAATGATCGCTTGGCCCTACCAATACGGTTTTAGGCTTTGACAATTTCAGGCGTAAACTGAAAATTTTAGTTTTTGGGCTGCCGCCGAAAGCATGATAAAATGCTTGAACTGTCTTTGGCTGGTAGCGGAAATCATTTGCCTAGACTATTTGAATTGCGTCGAGTTGAGCTATAAAGTGAGAACGATCAACCCTATCGGTGATACGATCATCGAAATTTTTCCAGCACAAGTTGCCAGCTGGTGCCAGATTTTTATTTCGATCAGGCGAGTACAACGATCGTGGGGCATTTGATACGTGCCCGCTCCTTTTTTCATTGGCAATCCAACTTTGAGCTCAAATTTCTAGGTGTTGGGCTGTTCAATTTAAATAGTTTTGTATCAATCGACAGAGAAATACTTGCTGCATCTAATGATATCAAGAATATTGAAATTGGACAGCCCAACACCGAGATATTTGATCTCAAAGTTAGATTGCTAATGGCAAAAGAGTCAGGGCGTATATAAAAGGTCGCCCGGCTTCTTTGCCCCGCCCCCTTTGTCCCACCGCATTTGCCATGCCTCTTTTGCCATTGGCATCTAGCTTTGAGCTCAAATTTCTTGGTGGTCGGCTCTTCGCGTATAAAAGGTCCATAGCCCCGCCCCCGCCCTTGCCATTGGCTAACTTTGATCTCAAATTTCTTGGTGTTGGGCTGTTCAATTTAAATAGTCTTTGTACGAATCGACAGAGAAAGACTTGATGCATCTAATGATATCAAGAATATTAAAGTTGAGCAGCCCAACATCAAGATATTTGAGTTCAAAGTTAGGTCGCCATTGGTAAAAGGGCGGACGCGTATCAAATGTCCGATAACCAACGAAACGTAGGTTCCTGTTGAGAAAAACGAGAATTCTCTCCGAAATTCAAATTGAAAACAATAACTTAAAGCTAAAAAGAAAATTTACGGAATTTCAGCCGTTTCCTTGCACTCTCCTTTGACGGTATCTATTATCGGTACACGCTAAAATGGCCACTCGTTCAATTCGTCTTTCCACTTCTCTGCCATCATCTCCATAACAAAATGCTCGCACTTCTTACGTTTATCTATCGCAAAGATTCAAGATTCTTGTATCAAATTATCACATACATTGTTAATTTCCCATCTTATCTAATGGTTAGCCTCGACTGTGTGACATATAAAAACTTTAGGAAGGTAAGAAACGATTACTGTAAAGCTTCTAACAACGAGAAGCAGAAGGGAAATGAAAAAATGAATACGAAAGTTTAGTTCAAAAAAGAGGAAAAGAAACTCTCGCGAACGGAGCGTCTTCTGATGCTTCAAGTTTGTTTTTTTTGCTCTAACATAAAAATTTTGACTTTTATTTGATCTTCCAGCTAATCTAAAACTTTTCAGATGATTGTCTCATCGTTTCAGCGTTTGTTGAACACAATAGGCTGGTGGGTGATCGAGATTCCCGTGAGTCTCCTCACCGACTACAAAATTTTCGGACTCTACGACGCCTGTCAATCCGTCGTCTACAACTATTTCTTTTTCTATCTTCTTTTGAGGTTTGTCTTTAATCGATAAACAGTTTCAATAATCGGTAAACTTCAGTCTGATCACGATTTTCTTTCTGCGTAAACGAGATGATGAATCGAAGATCACTCGCGTAGAAACAGCAAAGCCAAGAAGGATCCCACTTGGAAAATGATGAAGGCTTAACGTTGAAGAATCTGAAAATCAAAAGGATAAAGTTGTAAAGATAAAGCTGTATTAAAAGAATCAAAAAGGATACTTATCCAAATCTGTGTAAGGGAAATTTTTGCTCTTTTTGTTTGCATTAATGTGTGTTTTTAGTACCGTACCTATAATAGAAGGTTACTACGCTTTATTTTACTCGTAGAATTCCACTCTAGCTAAAAGTAAGCCAAAAAACGGGCCATTACGCAGCACTACGGGACTTGGCCATCTCCATGACAGGTATTTCGGTTGATGGAACATATGGTCCATAAAAAAGTGACTCATTTTGCGTAACTGAAAATTTTTTGCGCTGTTTTTTGATGGCACATTATGGTGTTAGAATTGGTGTTAGAAGTTTACTATTATATTATGGACTTCAAAAAGATTACGGATAACGGAAATGTTAGAGAAATAGTGAAATTACCTTGGGATAGCCAGGCCGTAAAGACCTACAAAATGCTTCAAACAGTAACTCCATCATCGAACAATATTTTATAAATTTATTCCAAGCTTTTATTCCGACAAAAGCTCGCAAAACATGACAAAAAGCAACAACATTCCAACCGGTCAACATTTATAAATCTAAACAAACAAAACTTTAACATTAAGTATCATTAAGTATCATTAAGCATCACTAAGTATCCGACTGTGCCAGAAGTTCGCTTTGCAATCGAATGACGGCGTCGGGATTCTTGTTGAGAATTCCGTCTTTGACAATCAATTGCTCGAACAATACCACTAAAGCATAGCGTTCGTTAAACAGATTTTAGAAACAGAAACAGATAAAAGGTGCCAATTTATCAATGACCTCTTCACCGTTTTGATCTTGGATCAAGAAGGGCCGCTCCCAGACGAGAATTCCGTTCGTTTTCCATTCACTCCCGCCACGCCACGAGAAACCTTTCAACGGGGCATCAGGTTAAAGCCATTCTTGATCTAAATTCACACAATTAAAAGCTTGAAAACTTTATTCAAACCTTTGTTCTGTTCGAGCGCCATTCAAATCTTTGACCGTGTCTAGTTTCATGTGTCGGAAAATCAAATCATAGAGTTCTAAAACAAAATTGCATTCCATAATAGCCTTGCGCGAGTTGTTCGGCCGAAAAAGCGCTCTCACCATACGTATCGATCTTGAACTCCCACTTTAGACTAAAACAATAAATAAAATCTCATCAAAATTGACAATCAATTACCCGTCCTCTTCTTGCATCGAATTCATGACTCGTCCATTGTTGTTCGTGTTGTAGAATAAGACGAATGGCAGCTTGGGGGTACCAATTGGAGCGCTTGGAAATAACGAAGGAAGAAGTTGAGCAAGAAGGATTTTCCTTTACGATAAACACCAGCCACCCCAATAACGGCTACCTAAAAACACAAGATGTACATTGTTTCAAATATAAAACAAACCTTTTTATCGGAATATTTTCTGTCCAAGAGAACCTTTTCAAAAGCGGCCTCGTTTAACGTGAAGGCATGATCGAGATCCTGATCACTCACTTCAACAATGCGAACAACTTCGGAAACTAAAAACATTTAAAAGATAGATATTTAAGCACATACTTTTAGCTACCTCGTTTCTTACGCTAAACCGGCTAGCGCGAATTTAGTCTCACCTATAGCATCGGAAACTCTTTCTCACTTTAGCAATTCCGAAGAATTTATTGTCTTTATTGTCTAACTATTTTATTGATTCTTAATGCTAGTTCAACCCAAAACTTCATGAAAGTTTTATAGATTTTCACCCTGGAAATGTCAAAGTGTGCCAAATACAATCAACAGGGTCACTACACTTTTGTTATGTCCGATATAGGGATGTGAACATTGCAAGGCAAAAAGACAGCCGAGCCAATTGCCCCGATCTTCTCAAACCGACGGGGTAGGCTAATTTCCGCCATTTTATTTGCGCAACAGGGTCATTTGCGCAACTTTTTTGACGTTTTTAAGGGACTGGCGCGAAAGCAGAGCAGTGCGCTTTCTAAAGCGTGGATGCGCTACCGTACCCCGCACAAAAATTCTCTTTTGCCATTCTTTTCATTTTCCTTTATTCCATGATGGAATCGGAAACTTTGTCCGGCTTTTATGCCGAGTCCCACTAAGTTTTCTTTCCTCTTCGTAAAATCCATTATTGCGCAAACGTACTTGCGCAAATGACCCTGTTGCGCAAATAAAATGGCGGAAATTAGCCTACCCCCAAACCGACCAGTAAATATGTAACAATAATTATTAAAACCTTTCTTGCGATCTTCTCATTGAACACTTCTTGTTGCACTAATTACCTCTGCTGGTTTAACATTAAGCTTACATTTCACCGTTAGAATAAACTTACAACAGTTTTTGAACGAATATACAACTTCTTTCTATGAACTTTTGAACAACTTTTGGTGAAACTTATCCATTAAACTTTAGAAATAAGCCTATTGTCGATTTCTCATCAAGAATGGATTCTTTGAAGGAAGCAATTGGATTGGTGAATTTTGCGTGTTCTTTGTTCATTTTCATTCGTTTTTAGATTCCTCGCAACTTCTATGTCATCAAGATTGGAACTACAACGGAAAGCCTCCGCACAGAGAATCTGTTCTGTTAGTTTTTGAAAATTTTCGAACCTATATTTACTTTAGGAAACGTTGTGCAAAGTTTCGCGGCAACCTGGAAAATGATGGTCTCGTTTTTGCAAAGAAATTCTCGCTTCTATTTGCAACTAGAGAAGAGGTGTGCAACTTTTCTATAGCAATTTAGTACCGCTTTAGGCTGAGCAACACATTGACAGCGTTGAAAAGAAGCCTCCTCCAGTGTTCATAATCATCGATGACTATGGTTTTGCTTGGTGAACCTTTCAAATTTAGATTGTTTGTTAGAGTTGGATTTAGATCAAGTCTGTTTAGATGCAAGGATAACTGATCCTCAGCTTGCTCATGAGTGCAGTGTACTTCACGGGATATTGGCTTTTCAACGGTGAGGAGTCAGCAGTGAGGTCCGTTTTGTCAAGTGCTTCGTTAGTGTTGTTTTAATTTAGGGGACGTTGTTCTGCGTTCGTAAACGCGATGATCAAGTTATGGAGTGATGAAGGAGAAAAGAATGGAAAATCTTCGATTTCGACTCGTGGACTCGGTCAATTTGATGAGAAAGGTAACCAGTAGGTTAAATTATGCTAGAAGAAGTGTTTTTGGCTTCAAAAAATGTTTTGAGAGACCATTTTTAGACCTCTTTCCTATGTGTATCCCCCTCATCATCTGGTGGAGAAAAGCCATACATTCAAACGGCCGAATTAGCAAATGAACATGAGCGTTGTCGCAGTGAAGCCATTCGTGAATTCAGGTTTGTCTTTAGCTTTGGCATTGGCTTTGGTATTTGAATGGTACCTTACTATTAGTCATTTTATATTTTAGAAGTGCCAAGAAAAGGGGTGGCGTTGCGCAAACCGGCTGTGCTCATTGCAATCATGATTGCCGATTATGTTTTGCAAGCGTTTTGTCAACTTCTTGGTATGAATTCAATTGCGGGTGAGATAGTTTTGTTTTACATTACTTTATTTCCTCCAGGTATTTTCTCATCGGTCTTCTTCATCATTGTTTGCACTTTGTCGGTGTGAAAACTTGCGAGAGCCGGCAGGATATGTTGGTTGAGTTTTGTAAATATGTATTTAGATTATTTATTGTGTATTTAGATGGACGATTTTGTGAACTGGGTTTGGAAGGAGTTTATTTCAACAAATGCCCACCATATGGGTGATCTGGGAGGTGCCGTTCAGCTCGGAGATCAATTTACAGGTAGAGATCTTTAAATCTCAATGTTATTATGTTATTAGATAACTGAATTAGGCATTTTGTGATTTTGTTTAGTCAGACTGTGAACAAGTAGCTTAAGTAGTAGATCGTCCCTAAACCTTTGTTGTCTTTTGTTCGCAAAAATTGCGATGAAAAGCTATCCTTGAAGGAAAATTAAAATTCGCTAATGACAGGCCCTGAAGCTCGTTGCTTGAACGGCCCACATATGCGGTGACATTTAAAAACTGTTTACAGAAACTAGTTACTGGTTTTAACTTGGATTTTAATTAATATGTAACAGAAAGTATTTAAGAACAAAAATCGCTTTAAAATTATCAACTCTTTAGAATGCTACCACGTCAGCACGTCGAGCCGCTCCAACAAAAATCGACTAGTTCATAAGAAGCGGATCCATCAAACCGTAAAGTCAATGTCTCTTCACATGCTTCTTTGGTCAAGAGGATTCCAGCGTGCGATTTCTTGTCGTTCAGGACAAATCAGCAATTGAACGATCAATGCACGCTTCTGCACAATTTGAAGTCGATGAATAGTTTGTACCCGGAAGAGAATTCAAGAGAAGCTCTCGAGAGATTCATCTCAAATGTCCACGCATCGATCAAGAAAGATGCAAGACTGAATATCAAACTCGGTGAAGATGAAGATGATCAAATGATCAACGATTTCATCTAGAATTTCATCATGGCACAACTCAAGGATTGCGAGACATTTGTGTTTCGCTGTTATTTCAAAGATTGATTTCGCTTTTACTACGATGCCTTGTTGAAGACTGAGCAAAAACGTTTATATTGTTGATCATTCAGCTAGCTACATTCATTGGATTGGTCAACAGATCGTCACCAATGGAATCCCGAGCAAGCACCATGAGGCTGCTATCTTGGTTTTTACAGATGATACCTACCCCCACAATATCCAGGAATACGACGAATCGATGAAGAGAATCATCTTCGACTTCTCAAACAGGCGGAGGATGTTATGAAGAATTTTGAATAGACTGTGGAATCTTCTTATTGCAGTTCATAAAAGTTCTCATTTATCAAATTTTGAAACCAAACTGGGTTGCAAAAGCCCAAAGCCTGACGGCTGTCCCATTTGTGAGAAAATTGTTGTGTGTAATTTCTAAAACTCGTCCGTCCTAGCCTAACCCAATGCAATAATTCCATTTCTCTTTGTTTGTTTGTTGTCCCTTTTCTAATATTTCTTTTCCAGAATGGCTGACGATTTTGACTCGTAGAATACTTCGAACGCGGATCATGAGGTTCGATCAGCATCTATTGTAGCTTTGGGATCAATGCTCCGAGCAACGGGTCCCAGAGTATATGCTTTGATGAAAGAAATCGTCGAAGATGAAGCTCGAATGGAGAAAGTATGTCGTTATTTGAATGTCATAGCCATCTATCTAAATTTTAGGTTCAAGCAGCTCTAGAGCAAGCAAAATTAGAAGTCGCCGAAGAACAAGCGCAAGATCCAATAGCAGCAGCTTGACCAGCTGTCGATCATGCACAAGAGGCCGAAGAGCAGACATCCACAGCATGTGTCAAAGCTGTCGAGTATTGGTTCGACGCGAAGAGTGGTCAGGTAAGATCGACGTTAAAGAAATTCTGAAGATCTAAAAAGGTTTTATAGGTCTTATAAAGATTTGGTCCGATCCTTGGATAATAACTTGAAAAATCCGATCTCGGACTATCATTCGGATACCCGGTAAGAACTTGGACAACTTTCGGTTTATTAGAGTTATCGGCTCTTGTACGTGATCTCGGGTTTATGAAGGTAGCTGCTGACGCGCTTTGGTTATAACTTTTGATAGAGTTAATATTTTTGGAATTTGTTTTCAGATTCAGATTCCTCATTAATTTGTGTATCTAGTAGTATATAATTTGTGAAAACTTTATTATTGGACCAAGCCTAAATTCATTGTTAAAGTTCGAAAGTTTAGTTCGAAAACTGAAGCATTGGGAATCACGATAGATTTCGATCCAATAATAATGTTTTCACAAAGTATATACTCCTAGATGCAAAAATTAATGAGAAATATGAAAGCCGATTTCAAAAATATGCATTCTATCAAAAGCTATAACCAAAACGAGTCATCGGATACCTCCATAAACGCGGACAAGACCAGAATTATCCAGTCCTGCAGAGATCCAGACCCTGAAAGAATTTGAAGCCGAATTTCTCGGCCCACATAAAAGATAGCTATAGTTCATTGCTATGGAAAGCAAAGTTTGTAGGGTTTGACAAAAATTATAAATTTGCTTCTTATAGCATAAATCTATCTTTTATGTGGACTGAGAAATCGGCTCTCAAATTGACTCTCTTATCGAAAGGCTGGATTTTTTAAGGGCAGATAATTTGGAAGGGCCAAATTTTGGGTAGTTAAAGCATACCATCTGCTTAAAGACCAGTTATCAAGTTTTGAAGATCTCCTATGTGATTCTATAGTTATTTTTACAGGGCGCAGTGATGTGGAATGACACGGATCAAGGCCTTCAGCACAGCCTGCTGCGACACAGCTCCGAGTGGAAGGAAGTGATTCAGGGATTTGAAGCGACGGTCGATTCTTTTTCATCCACGATGAAAACGCAACTGGATACGATTGGAAAGAACGCTTTCACTCTCGACGCCGTTCGAAATTCGACATGGCCAAGCCTCAATGATGAAGATATGAAAAGTGAGGGGAAAATATTCGGGGGCTATGAAAAGTGAAGCAACTTTGAGGACTGGCTTCTCGATCCACATAAAAGCTTGTTTAATAGTATTAAAAGTTAATTTGTAATTCTCGCCAGGTGCTATAACTTTGTTCGTACAGCAATGGCCTATCTTTTATGTGACAGAGAAATCGATCCCTTTAAATTTGACTCTCTTTTTAGGGCATCGGATCTTTGGATCGAATAATTGAGTGAAGCTAAGGATATTTTGAAAATTCTATCTGACTTCTTTCAGCGGTGAGCAAGCTGCAAATCAGCATCTACGAGTTTCTCCGGAACAACGTTACCTACGCACAGTATCAAGGCGGGGGAATTGCTCAAGCTGGTCACATGCAAGTTTACTTCGAGGTAAATGTTAGAGAAAGGGTACAATGATGAAACAATTTATTATAATTTTTTCTTTTAAGGTCATCGATCTGATGATGAACCCAAAGACAAGGGTGGTGTGTGCATCTGATGAGCTCTACCTGCCTGATCCCCTTTTCCGAGATGGTCGTCCGATCCGAAAAATTATCACCGAGTTCTTCACGTCGAAGACGAACGTCGTCGGTAAAACTTTTTGTACAATTTCTTCGCTTCATCTCTTGTGCTTGTGCGCATATGGATGGCCTATGTTACAACCTAATACTTCATTTTTCCCCTGCTTTACCTTATTTTGCTTACTCTTGTCCCGTTCTGTGCTATCTATATCTCATCCAATCTTTGATCATCAGCCTATTTAAAATAAAAATGTTGATTTGGAAGGTTTTGAATTGAAAATTCACAGGTTACAGCTTTCACAGAGCAAAAGCGTTGGAAAAAAGATTACCAGATTTCCGTAAAATTCGTCAACTTCATAACGCACTGGCACTTTCACGATCAATTAGACTTCTAAAAAGCACGGATAATATCAAACCATTTTCTTTTCATTTCACAAAAGATTTTAAAGCTTTATTCTCAATAATTGAAAGGCAACCAAATATAACAGATAAAGCACCAATAATCTGTCAATTCAAAAAATGGAAACAATAGAAAGCGGCTAAATGATACAATGAATCATCAAAAAGTGTTTATTTTAACCGACCGGGACGTAGAAGGCCAAGAGGACCAAGACGTCCGTAAAATTATCGTACCCGTACACGCAGATGCAGTCCTTGGTTGAATCAATACGTCGACGGAATATTGAGCTTTCCATGTTGAAAACCTCAGAACCATTAAGATTCTTCATAAAATCCCCCGCCTATTTGAGAAGTCGAAGATGATTCTCTCCATCGATTCGTCGTATTCCTGGATATTGTGGGGGATCCATCCTGTGGTATTACCTGTAAAAATCAAGATAGCAGCCTCAGGGTTTTTGCTCGGGCTTCCATTGGTGACGATCTGTTGAGCAATCCAATCAAGTTAGCTGAATGATCAACAATATAAACCTTTTTGATCTCAGTTTTCAACAAGGCGTCGTAGTAAAAGTGAAATAAATCTTTAGAATAACAGTGGAACCCAAATGTCTCGCAATCCTTGAGTTGTGCCATGATGAAATTCTCGATGAAATCGTTGATCATTTGATCATCTTCATCTTCACCGAGTTTAATATTCAGTCTTGCATCTTTCTTGATCGATGCGTGGACATTTGAGATTTTGAATTCTCTTCCAGGCACAAACTCTTCACCGACTTCAAATTTTAAGTTCCTAAACAAAGCAAATTTATGTTAATAGTATGATTGTGTTTGCTATTATATTAATTTGCATTTTCTTTCTTTCACTAAAAGGTTTTTGCCTTTTAATCTCTTTCCTCCGGTAAGAGGCTTCATTTTCGCAAAAGAGGTCATATAAAACTTATTGGCTGATGCTTGCAATTCTTTTATTTTTGGAAAGATATGCAAGCGCTGGTTTCATCCCCATCACCCTAATCGATTCAGGCTAAATTAGTATTCTTGGGCTTTCGTGGTGTACTTTGTGCTTAAATCTGTAAACGCACTTCTTCTGACGCAACGGTTTGAAAGATGAAGATATATACAAGATTATTGGCTTGGGGTTTTCGTCCCGAAAATGATTTCTTTGCGGTGAAATCTTGGCGTCTCCTATGGGACGTGGTCAGCTCCTTTTCGCGAATAGCCGAGATAATTTCCGAAAGACAAGCCAGAAGAATGGATCTTTTCCCGCAATTTCCCCATGGGATTTCACCAGTTTGTCTTATGATGGCCGCGCTTATGCTCTCCTCAAGCCGATTGCCGGAAAGGAAAACAACGGGGATACGGTAGCTCAAAAGAGAGAGTCATCGAGTTTTTTTTTGGTTTTAATTTCGATAAACATCTTTGGGTAACAAATTTGAGCAAATTTAATGGCTTACGGGCAATTTAATGATCTCATTTAACACCTCAAAACTTCAAATTCATTGCAATATCTTCAGTTTTTTGCATGCACTTTCTAGTAACTAGCAGAAGTTTGACCGAATTATTCAATGTGCCAGAAGAGGTGTGTTTACAACTTTATTCCGCATAAAGCACACTTAAAAGAAATCACTTTGAGAGTGGTCAAGCTGGAATGCCCGTATTAGCTTGTATTAAGGCGGGAATGCCTGTATTTTGTTGACTCAAGCTTGATTGGGTTCTAAAAATACAAACGTACCCTTTCCTGGTGCACTAAATTCATTTTTCTCATAGCAATGGGGGTTGCGCGAGAAAAATGACGATTTCATGGCGCCAGAAAGGATGCATTTAGTCATTTTTAAGCCATTTTTGAGCCAAATCTGCGAAAATTAAACTTTTGAACATGATGAACAGCACTTTTATTTACAATAAACTTTATGAAAATAGTTTATTTAAATTTTTATTGACTTTCATTTTCCTTCGTCCATCTCTCCCTCACCAAACTCAGTGCCAATCGGCTGACATCTTTTGTTTTTCATGCGTCGATTTTGAAACCAGATCTTCACCTAGAAATTTGGGGCTTAAGAAAAGAAGCGGTTTTCTAAACGGTTACGGTTTGCACTTTGAAAGATAATCTTCTTAAAAGTTTCAAAGAAAAGCTACCGTAATCCAGGATCACCGCTCTACCGTAAGCCCAGCAAACTAGCGTAAGCCCAGCAAACTACCGTAATCCCAGCAAGCTACCGTAAGCCCAGCAAGCTACCGTAAGCCCAGCAAACTAGCGTAAGCCCAGCAAACTACCGTAATCCCAGCAAACTACCGTAATCCCAGCAAACTACCGTAACCCCAGCAAACTACCGTCATCCCAACAAACTAGCGTAAGCCCAGCAAGCTATCGTAGTCCCAACAAAATACCGTAACCCCAGAAAACTACCGTAATCCCAGGTTACCGATCAACGGTAATCCATTGTCAAAAAGGGACCTGAGTACCATAGCTTTCCTAACTTTAGTCTTTTATCTTCGTACATTTTTTAGAAAAGATTTAAGCAGAAGAATACCGTTAGATACGATAAAATGCCATTCTAAAAACCAAGATAGGTATTCGACTACGGTATACAATCGAAACTCACCTGCGTTTCGGTGAGACAAAGCTGCTGAGCCAGCTGGTATCGCCGCGGTCGGCTGAGGTACTTGTTCTCATTGAATTGACTGAAAAAGTGATTTTATCTTTAGAATGAACTATAAAATGAAACTTTTTGATTGTATAGAAGTGTTAGAAGTGTCTAGAAGTGTCTAGAAATGTCTAGAAGTTTTTTTACGAACCGTTCCAATTCAATCAACTGTTCCGAAGTGAAAGCCGTTCTCGGACGCCGCATTTTTCCCCATGATTGCCAGGCGCCAACTGGAAATAATCTTACTAGATCTTACTGTACTTTGTGTTGAAATCTGTAAACGCACATCTTTCTGGAGCACTGAATACTTCATTTTTCTTACAGCATGATGTCATGAGAAAAAATGAAGAGTACGCCAGAAAGAATGCGTTTACAACTTTCGGATTTTTGATCTCTTGGAAAATCATGAGAAAAGCGAACGAGTGAGCGCCAATTGATCATAGAGAAGCGCCGGATTAATCAACGGATACGAGACAGTCATCGATGGTAAACGGAAACCGAATGGGAACTGAAATGGAGATTTTAAAAGTGAGCTCAATTACCGTACTCCATTGCATATTTGTATTTTTAAGCTAAAATTTAACATTTTCTTGTTCCTCACCATTTCATTTCCATTCTGACAATCAAACAATTCCAATTTCTCATCGTTTAATGTTGTCGCTGCCTGACTCACACTATAAAATGATGTTCTTTATGCTTGATTTTGTAAACGCAGCCTTTCTACTGATCTTATTTTCTTTTAAAAAGCCCTTACTTTTGAATTTGATCGTTTTTTGAAGAATCGCATGTTGAAATTTGCGTCTCAGAGATTTGTGTGGCTATAAAATAGTAAATTTTTAAAAATTTCACTTTTATTAGAAAAATTCCTTTTTCAAACCGTTATTTTAGCTTTAATATAAAGTTTTTCAAAGTTTTTAACCTCAAATTTATAACCAATTCCTTTTTCTTACCTTGCTTTTTGGTGTCTAAAGTTGGGCAAAGTAGGGAGTCGATTGAAGAGAACATCTCAAAAAAAGAATAAACGTTTTTTTTTAGATTTTATATATATGCTTTATTGAGGGGGCAAATAGAAACGAATCAGCTAGTCATAACCGAATATAACATATTGCTACAATAATTTCACAAAAAAAAGAAAGAAAACTAAAAATGGTACAGTCAGACTACAGTTAGGAAACACAGGTACAAAAAGATTAAATATAGGGCAGATTTGAGATGGCAATAAGATCTAATTCGTTTACAGATACTTTCAATTTTCCTACAGACGAGAAGATACCAGACGAGAAGATACCAGACGAGACGAGACGAGACAAGACGGAAGCTTATTCGAAGTCCAAGACCGGAGCTTATTCCAAGTCCAAGACAGGAGCTTATTCCAAGTCCAAGACCGGAGCTCATTCCAAGTCCAAGACGGAAGCTCATTCCAAGTCCAAGACCGGAGCTTATTCCAAACCCTACTAATACAGTTCGCAAAAGGATGATAAAGGGAAAGATGATGGGGATGAGAACCGACCGAAATTTGATAAGGATGACTACGTGTACTTCTAGAAATTTCCACAATTTTCAAGAGGCTTTGAAAACTTTCAAGCTTTCAAGCTTTCAATCCAATTTTCAAGAGGCTTTGAAATTCTGGATGCGACTCAGGGTGGAAAAGAATTTTATAGCAAAAAAATAAGATCAAAGTAAATACAGCTATATAAAAGGGGGTTTTAAATCAAAAACTATAAGTCTAGTCTTATAATTTGGAATAAGAGAAGAAGGGAAACAATGAGTGCATGCTTTTTTAGTGAAACGCCGTTGGACATTTTCAACCAAGGTGAGAAGTTTCTTAATGACCATACCATGGTGCACATCGGCGCGAAAGTGCGTTTTCTATCGGATTTTTCTGGGAGTACCTTTTTTAGATGCGGAAAATTGTGCTGATTCCGAATCTGAAGGAATTTTTCAAATCCCTCTAACAGAAATTTTTTAAATTTAGGTTTAGCGGTTTTTTGGTCATTTCGTATGGGAAATTTTGTGGTACCCTGCAGTTTGGAGCTCGTAACTCGACAAAGAGGGTCTAGAACCAAAAACGAAGTGATAAGTTTTATTCTAGAGACTCTTACGAACATTTTGATGCAAAAATTATCAAATTTGCTCAACTCTACAAAAAGTTATAACATTGCCACCCTGGTGGCATATTTAAAAAAAGAATTCTTTATTCTAAAGTAATTCTAAAGTTAATCGTTTCTTAAAAAGTAATAAAAGAAATAAAAGAAATCTTTTGATTGATTTGAATTCAAAAGTTTTCATTTAAAATAATAGCCATTGAGGGCTAAGGGGTGGAGCTACCGTAAGACAAAAATGTCTAAATTTCAAGTCAAAAATTTGTTTTCTAAAAAAATAACCCAAATTTACATTTAAATTCATTCAAATTTAAAGAAAAATGTGAATTTAAATGCAAATTTCCATTTAAATCCAAACAAAATTGCAAAAACTAGTTGAAAAACCCATAAAATAATCAAAACTACGATTTTCTATGAAAAAGTTGGCTTTTAGAAGGCAAAATTCAGATTTTTTAATAAAAAATCATTTAAATATGTAAATTTCATTGAAATTTCATTGAAATTTCATTGAAATTTTCAATAATATACTTAAAAATGAGAAGAAATTGAAGAAAAATTTCATTTTAAGCACAAAGGGGAAAGGGGCGGTAAAAGTGTGAAAGGAGAATTTGCATATTCCTTTGACGAGTCGCCAAATTCTCTAGAGACCCAAAAATTGAAAGTGAAATGGAATATTTTGTCACCACTGGCTTTTGATGAAATTCAACATTCTTTTAGCTTTTGTTTTAGTGTCCCAGAAGACTGGCGTTTACGTTTGTGTACTTTGTGCTCAAAAATCTTTAAACACAACCCCCTGGCCCACTGAATCCTTCAACTTTCTCGCGATACTGACTATTTGGTTGTGAGAAAAATAAGAAATTCAGTGCGCTAAAAGGGTGCGTTTGAGTTTGAACTCTGGCCTAAGCCTGAGCCTGAGCTCAAAGTACAGTTGAAAGATCAAGTCTGGTCTAGTTTTGGAATGTAAACGCGGGTGTTCTGGTGCACTGAAAGGATGTCATTTACCCGGCCAAATCTAGAGTTTAGTGGGCTAAAAACGGTGCGTTTAGGGTTCAAAGAGTAAGCTGCTTATTGATTCAATCACCTAAAAATTTCTCTCAAGTTCTCCGGGTGATAGCCTAAGCCTAAGCCTAATCCCCTTGGGTTCCAAAGCACAAGGGCAATCGCCTGCACCCTAGCTCCGAGAACTGGCTGAGATCCCTAAAATGGGGGTCCAGCCCAAACCCAAACAGACTTAGTGCCAGGCGATAGCTGCTTGTCTTCGCATTAAGTCTAAGCCTAAGCCTAAGCTTGAGCCTAAGCTTGAGCCTAAGCCTAAGCCAAAGCATAAGCCTAAGCCTAAGCCAAAGCCTAAGCCTAAGCTTGAGCCTAAGCCTAAGCCTGAACTTGGATATTGTAGCTTGAAAATCGAAATCGAAGAATTGGTGTGTTCAGTTTTGAAAGGAAACTGACAAAGTTGGGTAATTGAACCGGAATCCTGGCTGAGATTTTAGTGCACCAGATTGGAGACGTTTACAAAACTTGTTTTCTCTGGTGTACTTTGGGCTCAAATCTGTAAACGTACCCCATTTGGTGCACTGAATTCAGTTTTCTCGCGAAACCAAAGAAAAATGTGGGGCAAAGATTCGTTTACAGATTTGAGCACAGCTTTTGAGTTCACTAGCTGGCTGGCTTTTTACAAGGTTGCAGACTTGCATATGCAAATTTTCTGATACTATTTCTGATACAGGCAATACAGTAAACTTTTTATTTGTACATACAAATTTCCTGTTTTATTTTTATTATCATTTTCGTCCAAATAATCCAAAGAAACCAGACGATTGAGTGGGTGATGGTTGAATATTCTCTTTTTCTTTTTGTTGCTGACACGTTCGACAACAGATCCTTGCCGTGAACCCGGACGAGCATGAGAAAAGGAAATTCCCTTCGGAAATCATTCCGCAAATTGGAGAGAATAGATCGTAACAGGAGGAGGATTCTGGAATCTACTAGATATAAAAGGGAAGTATCCGTCTGTCTGTCCGTAGTTCTCGGCTCCCTGTGAGCTGATTTACGTATTTTTTGTTTTTTAGGCTTAGAATTCTATGTAGTTGTTAATCTCATATTTTGTTATTTTAAAAAGCAAAAGCAACGGCACAGCCAGGAGTCGAACCCGGGTCTCGTGGGCCGTAGACAATCGCGCTCCCGACTGTTCCACGGTGACAAAGGCATCAAGCCAGAAAAAGCTGCTGTTAAGCACAAGAAAAACACACTCTACATACCACAAATAGCTTTTTATTTAGTCTTGAAATGCTTGAAATTGTGCTGAAACTCTAGGTTGATTAAATCCAGGTACTTAAAAAGCTTACGAAGATGAGATGGTACCTTAAAAGCTAAGAAGAAAGTGTTAGGTTATAAAAATCTAGCTTATAAAACTCATTGAAACAATTCGGATTCTAAAAAGTTAAGTTTTTCGATAAATTTTATGTAGTAAGCTAGTTTGAATCAAGTAAAAATCAGATCGTTGATCCGATGTATTACTGTAACTACAGAATGACCCACAATTAGATTGCCACACTTCAGATGGCTTCAGGTTCGTCAAAATTGGCTCAATCGTTCTCATTTTTCTCGAGATAATGCTTAAGTAGATCTCCTAGAACGATGCCAATTATCTAATCGATTTAACCATTCAATTTTTTTATATAGCCGTCCAAAGTTGAATCCGATAAATGAGCGAGACTTAACTCTAAACTTTGGAAAGCTATATAAAAAAATTGAAGGGATAAATCGATTGGATAATTGGCAGCTTTCCAGGAGACTTACTTAAGCATTATCTCCAGAAAAATGAAAACGATTGACCCAATTTTGACGAATCTAAAGCTCTCTGAAGCTCTCTGAAGCCCTCTAAAGTCTGACGCTTGTATCTTGTAATCTTACCCGATCCATTTCCATTCTTCGTTTCATTCTCATTGCCAGCAACAAGAATTTGAGGCTAAACGTTGATTTGAAAGTTTTTTTGATGTTTTTAAAAACCACAATATTTGGTGGAAGTGATGGAGCCGGCGGGTTGATCGGCTCATTCGGATTCACTCCGTTGTTCGGGTTTTGCTTTAGTGAGTTCTTAGAAAAGCTGATCGTTTGTTTGTTTGTTTACTTTTAAACAAACCACTAAAGATTGTTGATCGTAGGTTTTTCCCATACACATATTACAGCCATACATTATGCACACTTTTGCATAGTCGCTTTGCGCTGCGTCGACGGCTTTTCCAATAATTCTCTAGAAAAATTGCAGTAGAAGATTGAAAGTTTCATTGCGACCTTTCCTGTGGCTTCAGTGTGCCAGCCTACTTGTGTTAGCAAAGTACAAAGCAAAGCAAAAGTACTTTGTGCTCAAATCTGTAAACGTAAACCTTCCAGCGTGCCTAATTCTTGATTTTTCTTGTAACAAAAAGTCGTTGCGTTGAAAAGTCAAGAATTCAATGCACTAGAAAGATTCGTTTACAGACTTTCGGGCACAAAGTACATTCAACGATTGCATTAGAAAGGGTGCGTTTATGCTTGAGCATAAGTTCATCAATTTTTCAAGGCTTTACCTGATAGCTTGGGTTCACTGTTTGCATGCTGATTCGGCCGGGTTTCGCGAACGCATCCTCAGCGTAGTGCATCACCGAACTAATAAATTATCGAAATTAAATTCTATATCTAATAGGTGTGTGAAAAAGTAATCCACGTTTTTTATTTTTATTTTGTTTAAATAAATATTAGAAAGGGTGCAAACAATTTTTAATTTTTTGTTAACGATATATATCGTTTAAAAGCTTATTTTTTCCTCTTTCGAATGATATATTCATTTTGTTAAAAGGACGACAATAAACTACCTTCATTTTAGTTTGAAAATGATATACACAAGTATCGTTATTCGGTCAAATTTGCTTTATGAGTTCAAAAATGGGTTGAAAGCTGCGGAGGCTGCACGTCGAATTCGGAATGCGTTTGGCGAAGACGCCGTTACTGATGATACCGCTAGGTTTTGGTTCCGACGATTCAAAGGTGGTAATGAAAGCCTAGAACCACGTGGCGGTCGCCCTGAGACCTGTTCGGATGACCAAATAAGACGCTGTCTTCTCGAAAACCCTCGTTCAACCTCTTCAGAAATAGGCCTTACATTAAATTGTGATGGGTCAACCGTAAGGAAACGCTTGAATGCCATGAATTTTATCAAAAAGTTGGACAAATGGATACCGCATAAACGTTAAAAACGTGGATTACTTTTTCACACACCTAATACATATTAAATCTCGATTAAATCTAGATTACTGTAGCTAAGTTGTAAAATAAAATCTCAAAACTTTCAAACCGATAATCATATGGTATATCGTATGTTGTCGCCTCATCGGGGGTCACTTTCTCGAATTGAGATTGATAATCTAAAAAGTAAAAGTTTAAGCTAATCTTTAGATATGGTAAAATAAAAAAAAACATTTAAAAGATGAACTCTGAACCGAATGCTGTAGGTAATGATGGTGAATGGTGACACCCAGATGGTGAACTGGTTGCCAAGACCAGTCTCCCTAGATCCTTTCCCCTCGTGGATAACCAGGGATTCAAATGGGTAGACTTGTCTAAGACGCAAGCTCATATAAAACAGATAGCCTTTTTCTCCTACATCGTCTCCTACATAGTCCCATCCTCACAAACGATAGAATATTCTCTAGATCTTAATGTGTAAATTTTGATTATGTTTGTGCAAAGTAAATCACCGGTATACATTATCATTATATGGTAAAAAGAAATTAGATCTGGTAAAATCAAATTTTTAGATCTGAACAGATAGATAGGCCAGGATCTAAATGGCCAGGATCTAAATGGCCAGGATCTAAATGGCCAGGATCTAAATGGCCAGGATCTAAATGGCCAGGATCTAAATGGCCAGGATCTGAATGGCCAGGATCTGAATGGCCAGGATCTGAATGGCCCGAATCTGAATGGCCAGGATCTGAATGGCCAGGATCTGAATGGCCAGGATCTGAATGGCCGGGATAAAGCGGATAGCCTTCTCGGATAGCGGATAGCCAATAAATGTTATTCGGGTGTTATTTTCCCTAAACCTCTTTGTTAAGCATTTGTTTGAAATAAACTTTTAACCTGATTGATAACGGACTCAATTCAAAAAATTGAGACAGAAAAAAAACAGTTTTCACACCAGGAATGCCACTTAAACTTTTTCAAAAAATCTGTTTTTAAATGCCTTTTTTGGGACACCCTGTAGATCAAAAACTCCGCTCACAAGATGGGATATTGTCGAAGTTGACGCGGATGTACTGATCCCGATCGTTTCGCATGTGCTCGTGCCAGAGGCCGATTGTGTGGAAAAGCTCGTGAATCACTGAAAACAATTTGGATTACCGTAAGCAGGCGAGCCAGAAGGGGGAGTAAAACGGATCGTTTTTAAAAAGTTTGCCCTTCCTCCCGAAATTAAAACTTTTTTTGAGCCAGTTTCGGTACATCCACAGAGACTCAACCCGGTTAAGCAAGGAGTTAACAACTTGTAAGCGGTGATTACGTTCAGGGAAGTAGAGTGCTCGCCTGAAGTGATCAGTCGATCAGTCGAACGAAAATCGATAACCGAGAAGACTCGGATGGGGATGCTTAACCGACATGAGTTTTTGTGGATGTCGAACCGACAAGTACCGCAGTTTCTTACTGGATGGCCGTTTTCTTTTAAAAAAAATTCATTTTTCAGCTACGAGGCTGCTTTGCCAAAATTTGTATTAAATTCCCTCCCTTAAATGCAAATTGAGCGGGCGTTGTTGTAAATTTTAAATTCGAATAACTCGGTGGGAAATGATGTTTTTTACAAACGGACTGCAGATTCGGAATCAGCGAATTTTTTCTACCCTAAAATGGAGGCTTTCAGCTCCTTAGTTGAATTCCCCGAATAAAAGCTCGGACAGACAGACAGACAGACAGACAGACAGACAGACAGACAGACAAACGGACAGACAGACAGACAGACAGACAGACAGATGAACGGCGTGATCTATATTAGAAGTTGCATTCTTCTTCAAGAATCTGCTATTTTTTAATTTCATTGTCTAAAATTTGAATAATTGCACAATAAGAAAACAGAAAAATTGCCTAACGGATCTAAAATTATTGCGTTACGGCTTTTTGAACAAATAGCCTGGAAACGTCATCCTATCACTCATTTTTCAGCTCTTTGAAGATTCGGGGTACTGTAGATGGATAGGAAATAGAATTCTCGGGGAGGGATTCTCGGGGAGAAATTGATGGGAATGCGGCGGATATTGGAGGGATTACGGTCTACTCACCAATATCCGGTTCCACACACGTCGCTCGATCGTTCGCCTCAAGCATCACCACATTTCGACCGGGCTGCCGGCCGACAATAGTATAACAGCTAAAGCAGACATGATTTATGCTTCATTTGTCTAATTTTTGAATATTTGCAATTCACCCACCCCTCATTTTGCCTATTCTGCACCTCAACGTAATCACTCTCTCCATTCCATTTCTGGAAGCGAATACAAGTGTTGGCGGTAATTCTCCGCATCGCATCCATGATTATCGAGTTCTCTTCGAGATCTGAACACAGAGATATACAGAAGATGTATATTTTACGTCCGTTATTGAATCAATTCCATAACGGACTAGACATGGGCACTATAAACTACGAAAATGACAAACTGTTATACTAAAAACGATTCGAACTTGCTTCAAATCTGTTCGATTGACATGATCTATAGCTCAAAAAATAGAGAATCTCTAGAGCTTTCGAATGGACTAGTTTTTGTTACAAAAATTGAGCTAAAAGGCGTTCAGAAATCAGATTTTCACAAAAATGTGGATGTGAAAAGGTTCAGAGCTTGTTTTCTTAGTTGATTTTTTTTCAGACTAAAGCGCTACAGAGTTTTAAAGTCTCCAAGGGATACGGGGATATGTTCCAAACGGACTCTAGGATCTGGAATAGACATAAACTATAAAAATGACAAACTGTCAGACTGTCAGACTAAAAACGCTTCTAACTTGCTTCAAATCTGTCAGATTGACATGATCTATAGCTCAAAAAATAGAAAATCTCTAGAGCTTTCGAATGGACTAAAGAACACCGAAAAATAGAAATGCTAAAGAAAGTTACAGTGGTTTGTAGCCTAGTCTGATCCGTTTTAAGTCAAATTTTTGCTAAATCTAGCAAAGTGTGGACCCAGATGTGAGCCCTGGCCTAAAAACCCTTTTCAAAACATCCACAAAAAATACTACCTCCATCTCAACAGCTCTAAGTCTCAAGTGCTCTTACAGAAAGCTCTTCACATACCAAATTGTCCGGTAATCTTATACGGAATGACGAAAGAGCCATCATTTCCCTTTTGATACACCCAACGATCCGGGGAACTTCTCGGCAAAGCATTCATCATCACACTGAAAACAATAAAAGAGTCAAAAACGACTGGATTAAACGATTTAGACACTTTGGTTCAAAGAAATCGGTTCAAAGGTTCAAAGAAATCGATTTTGGTGTTAATAGAAAAAGAACGAGCCGTTAGGTTTATAGCCAAATTTTCAGAAAAATCTTTTCAGCCAATTCTTTTCTATCACCTTTTATCGAATTTTCGAATCAAAACGAGTTTTTGGGATCGAATTTTCTTGGAAACGGGCGCGGATTGGTGTAAAAAGATCGAAAAATGTAGAATAAACATCTTCTATTTGAAGCAAACCGTAAGTTATTTGATGAACTTTTCATTTATATGTCGTAGCCGATTATGAATGAAATTTTTTGGCAAACCTTTCTAGTACCCAACCCTTTAATTTATCCGGACAATATTATATCATCCTGTAGCGAATTAAATTCTGCGTTGAATGGTACCAAATTTGTGAGTTTAGGTTAAAAATTACCGGCGCTACAACGTTTCATTCAAAATCGGCGGGACCCCCCGAAGCCGATTATGAATGTGTGGGTCTAGGAGCGTCCAACCATCAAGTATTTGGTATCATTCAACGCAGAATTATTGATAATTATGTTAAATTTTTAAAATTAGAAAGATTTGATAAAAAGAAAAAAAATTAGAGCAAAAAAACTGTTTGTTCAAGAGGAAACTTTGAGGCCCCATAATTTTTTTTCTTTTTATCAAATCTTTCTAATTTTAAAAATTTAACATAATTATTAATGATTCTGCGTTGAATGATACCAAATACTTGATGGTTGGACGCGTCCGGACCCGCTCATTCATAATCGGCTGAAATTCATAATCGGTTACGACATATAAATAGATTCATTTATCAAATAGATTCATTTATAAATATTGGGTGTGTGACATTAGAAGAAATTCAAATTAGAAGAAAAAAAGAAAATTAACGAATTCAATCTTCCTCGTGACATCCAGATCGCTGAAAAACTCGAATTTCAGGAGCTCGAGAAGCACAAGGCGTGCGCAGTTGTGCGGGTATGCGAGCCGTCGTACGAGGTGACCCCGTTGAAGACGCATGGCATCGATGTGCTCGACTGGGAGTTTAATGACGGATCCCCGCCACCACCAGAGGTTTGAGAAAGGATTTGAGAAGGGTAAAGTGGCGAGAAAAGTCGCTCTTCTTTGTGCTCTTGTAAAAAAGTAAAGGTGTGTGAAAAGGTGTGTGAAAAAGTAATCCACGTTTTTTATTTTTATCTGATGACCAAATAAGACGCTGTCTTCTCGAAAACCCTCGTTCAACCTCTTCAGAAATAGGCCTTACGTTAAATTGTGATGGGTCAACCGTAAGGAAACGCTTGAATGCCATGAATTTTATCAAAAAGTTGGACAAATGGATACCGCATGAATTGAGCGAAGAAAACAAAACAATGCGCCTTACAATCGCCAATTCTTTGATTAGTAAACATCAACTTGAGCCATTTATTGATCGAATTGTTACGTGTGATGAAAAATGGGTTGATTACGATAATTCTAGAAGGTCTGGACAGTGGGTGGAACGTGGTAAACCTGCTGGGACAATGCCCAAAAAAAGCCTCCATCCTAAAAAAATTTTAATGACAGTTTGGTGGACTGCACGTGGTATCATGCACATAGACTATTTACCACGTGGCCAAACGATTAATTCGAATGTCTATTGTGCCGAGATTGATGCAGTCCAACAAAAACTCACTGAGAGACGCGCATCATTGGTAAATAGGAAAGGTGTCCTGTTGCTCCATGATAACGCGCGACCACATGTCTCTTTACAGACTCGACAAAAAATCCAGAGTGTTGGATGAGAGGCTTTACCACATCCACCTTATAGACCAGATCTTTCTCCATCTGATTATGATTTATTTTTGTCTCTGTCTAACTTTTTGGCCAATAAACGGTTCAATTCCGAAGAAGATGTCAAAGCCGAGGTTGATCTTTTCTTCGCCTCTAAGGACCAAGATTTTTATTATCGTGGAATGTCTTTACTTGTAGAACGTTGGCAAAAGGTTCTTCTTTCGAATGGTGATTACTTCGTTGAATAAAAATTATTTTAACGAAACTTATGGTCTTTTATATTTAAACGTTAAAAACGTCGATTACTTTTTCACACACCTAATAGATTCATTTATAAATAAAGAGCTTACAGACACAAGATAATTTGCTATACACAAGATAATTTGCTATTTTAATTTGCTATTTTAAATCTTTACCGATTCCCATTCTTTTCATGAGCCGCCGCGTGCAATTGTGTAATGTCACCGTCACCATTTTTCTGCGAGAAAATGTTGATGCGTGTGCCCTGGAGGTTTTTTCTTTGTTTAAACTCAATGAAATCTTTGTAAATGTTCAATTTAGGTTCAACTTTAATTCTCCAACTTAATTCTCCAACTTCTCCATATTATTCTCCAACAAGCGCCTGGTCCTGCTCGGAAAAATTATTAGGTACTACGGAAAGTAACTGCGCTTTTTTGTACTTAACTTTAATCTTTAATCTTTAATCTTTAATCAAAATAAAATCCATTACAATCAACAATTTTACCAGCAGACGGCAAGTTTTTTTTTTATTTCATGTAGAAGTCAGAAGTTCTAGAGTTAATAAAAGTGTCAATGGCATTTTGAATTTCCATCGCATCTTTGAATATTCGGTCTTTGAGAAAGCGATTAAGGTGCTTAAATAAGTGATAATCAGTTGGCGAGAGATCTGGTGAATTGGCTGGATAAGGTAGGGCTTCGATGCTTAAATCATTGAGTGTCATCACAGAGACGTGAGCAGGATTGTCCGGCAGCAGGATTATCCGACAGCAGGATTATCCGACAGACAGCAGGATTGTCATTCGGCCTTTTCGATTGACCACGCGGGGTGGAAAACCCGCAGCTTTGAGTGCATCTCCTTGATTGTTGTTTGATTGATTTGTTGCCCGTAGACCTTCGAATTGATGCTTTGCCCGCTTTTCAGTATATCACTCCTTTCTTATACCACCAAATTGATGACATGACCTTCTTTGAGTGGAGATCTTCTTTTGAAAAAGAAGTCAGAGTTTCGCCTTGATCCAATCATTCCGAATCATTGAGTGTCATCACAGAGACGTCAGCAGGATTGTCTGACAGCAGGATTGGGCCTTTTCGATTGACCACGCAAAGTTGAAAACCCGCAGCTTTGAGTGCATCTCCTTGATTGTTGTTTGATTGATTTGTTACCCGTAGACCTTCGAATCGATGCTTTGCCCGCTTTCCAGTATATCACTCCTTTCTTATACCACCAAATTGATGACATGACCTTCTTTGAGTGGAGATCTTCTTTTGAAAAAGAAGTCAGAGTTTCGCCTTGATCCAATCATTCCGAATCTCGCTTCCGATTGTCGTAAAGGACCGTAAAGGACGTAAAGGACATTTCTCATAGCATTGATGAAAGCAATTGATTAGCAATTGATTAGCAATTGATTCAAATGTTAGCAATTGATTCAAAAAAGGGTATTTCTCGTTTTGAAACTTCAAAGAAGATGAAGCGAGATGTCGAGCAATCGAGAAATAAATGCGGAATCCATTTCTCGAGCTTCTTTACTTTGCCAATCTCTTTAAAATGATCGCTAACTGTCATAACTCCAACACCAAAGAATCCATTTTTCATCGCATGTTAGAAATTGATTCAAAAAATGGTATTTCTCGTTTTGAAACTTCAAACATGAAGCTTCTCGTTTTGAAACTTTCAAACTTTCTCATTTTCAAACTTCAAAGAATTTCAAGCCTTTTATTTCCTTTGGTATCAGTTTTTGATTGAAAAATACTCATAAAAATTGACTTTTCTTGAAGTAAATTTTTCTACTTTTTAATAACCTTTATTTAAAAGTTGATTATTACATAAATTTCTATTAGAAAAGTGATAAAAGAGTGTTTTTCTATTGGGTTGTCCAGTTATGAATGCGCGTTTTTTACTATTTTGTAAATTTCTCAAGATACCAAAATCAAGAAAAAGAACTATATGAGTATTATTCAAAAGCTGAAGATCTCCTCTACATTTTGATATAAAAAGTTTTTGAATTTGTCCAGCTTTTGGGCAAATTGACTGCACAGAAGAAAAGGTGGCCAAAAAATGGAAGGGTGCCTTTGGATCAAGTTTTGGCTCCGCTCAAATTGAGCTAACCGTTTGATGTTTGGCCAATAGATATATCAATACAAGATTTTTTGAAATATAACAATTTCAGAGCATCTTTTCTTTTCTTTTCTTTTCTGGGCGGTTATTTTACACCATAAAACTTGAGGAATAGCTAAGCTGAAATGGTTTTTTTTTTTTTGAAAACGACCTCTCCCTTTGTGCTGTCAATTTCCCAAAAAGTTGAAAGATGAATTCAAAAACTTTTTTATTCCAAAATGTAGAAGAGATGTTCAGCTTTCGAATGATATATAACACTCATATATTGGGTTGGGGACTATGACTCGGCGCCGAAAATCAAAAAAATGTCTAAAACTTCTATTCGACTTCGTCAAATAATATGCGTTTGATATGAGTAGAATGGTTAACTAATTCTCTACAAAATGACATTTAAAAGAAAATTCAAACAGCGCCTCCGCTCAAGAAAAAGCCATTTTTTCACAAAAACTACAAACTGTCATCTAGAAAAAACCATTGGTGGGATCTTCTTGCAAATTTGGCAACTTATGTAATTGAATGTGCTCTATCTTTTTTATATAAACACCAAAGAAGGTTTATGTGAAAGAAACTGTTCAAATGATGAGTCGGGCTCTTTGCCATTTTGACTAGCTGTGTTTGGGAGTCCATAAACTCCACGAAAGAAAAGCTTTGTGGAATCTCTCAAAAGTCATTTTGTAGAGAAATAGTGGATCCTTTTGATGAAACCAAAGGTATATTTAAAGAAGGCTTTATGTGTGCAAAAAGTCCCTTTAAAGTTTGGCGCCGAGTCATAGTCCCCAACCCAATACATCTGTTCGATATCTTGAGAAATTTACAAAATAGTAAAAACGCGCATTCATAACTGGACAACCCAATATTTAAAATGCAAACGAGAAATCGTAAATGCAAATTTAAGAATTAATATTTTGATAAAAGAAGAGAAGATACCAAGATAACAAGAAAAATAACAAGTATTCTTCTAACATAACAAGTATTTTTCTTAAACTACTCTTTGGTCTTGAAATGCTACACCAACATCGATGATAAGGAATCGATGATAAGCGAAATGTTTCACTGCAATGAGTGCACTTTGAAGGTCGGGATCATTTTGTTCCTTATTTCCCCATTAATTTAGCTTTGTGGGACGTGTACGTATAAGAAACATCGTCAAGACGTGACAATGGTTCTTTTGCAAGAAGAGGTAACAGATAGACTAATATGGAAGATTTTGCTTTTTAGGCTAATCGATTCCTTATCATCGATCATCCTTATCATGGAATGCTTTAAAATTGGCATTCACCCCCTTTTTTCTGGTCTCTTTGAATTCGGCTCTCCTCCAGAAGGGAGCTCTTACGCCAACCTTCCGTTCCAACCGCTAACCTTCTGGGTAGCACAGAAAACCTCAAGAATCCACTAGAGCTTCAAGAACAAGATCATCTACAGATGATCAAGATCATCTACAGTTAAAGGCATTAGTTCCGACCCCCTTTTTTCTGGTCTCTTTGAATTCGGCTTTCTACGGGGCGCCTCCAGAAGGGGGCCTTTTCTCATACGCCAACCTTCCGTTTCCTCTAAAAGCCCCCACAGTTTCTTTTTTAATCGAGTTATTAAATTCTGGAACATTTTACCCCCTGATGTTCGTGATATTTCCACCTTGGCTAAATTTAAAGCCAATTTCAATTCAATTTCGGCAATTGATTTGACTGCCCTGTGATTCTTTCTTCAGGTATCTATTGGGTTGGTGGAAAAGTCCTTTCGGATTTTTTTGGGAGAGTACCTTAAATTTGTCAAATTTTGACGTTTTATAGCTCATCCTAAAGCTGAATTCAAGACGGATCGATTGGTAAAAACCGTTTTGAGATATCTCTTTTCTAAACCTTTTTACAGCTATTTTAGTAAAGGGCGGCAGAGCCAAAAAGCCAAAATATTTATCTTTTGGGTGTGTTTTGAGTGGTGTCCCGGGTAATTATTGTGATTTTGTTTTGTCGCTATTCAACTGAATAAAGCATATATATATATATAAACTAACCCTTTTCGCCTCAACGAAAGCACCCAGAAGTAACCAGAAAAAGAATAGTTTTTGCATTAAAGTTAATATTAAATGTAAATCAATAAGTAGAAGATAAGCTGAATATTTTCAAATCTTTCGAAAAATTCTATTTGAGCAGCTGATGTAAAATTGCCGGGGTTTTTTTTTCAGCGGATTTTTCCCAGCGAATTCGTGGCTTTATTTGAGCCGGTGGATGACTCAGAAAAGACGTGAACTTCGACATTTTTTTCTAGCCAAAAAAAGGTGAACAATTTTATTTGTTTAGATTGTTATTTGAATGTCTTTTCTTGAATCAGATCATCGGGATTATTTCTTGAAAAGGAGAAAAGAAAGATCAGAAAGATGGCTCTCTTTTAGATCAGACACACCCTGTCTAACAAATAGCAGAGAAGAGACTTTCAAAGAACTGATTTGTTAAAGATCAATGATTTTTCTGCATCTGAAACTTGCAAAATGGCAAATCCTTTTCTAAAACTTGTTCTCTTTCTAAAACTTGTCCTCTTTCTAAAGCTTGTTCCCTTTCTAATACTTGTTTTCTTTCTAAACTACCGTAATCTTGTCTCTATTTTTTATCCAATTCATTCAATCTGATATTCTTTATGAACCCTCACAGAATCAGACAAAAAGTAAATAGATTTGTTAAGAATTGGTGGCAAGATTACAGTAGTTACAGTAAGATTACAGTAGTTACAGTAGTTACAGTAGTTACAGTAGTTACAGAGTTACAGCAGCTACAGTAGTTACAGAGTTACAGTAGTTACAGTAGTTACAGTAGTTACAGAGTTACAGTAGTTACAGTAGTTTTTAGAAAACGCTGTAGCTTTGCGCAATTAGCTTCAATTGCAATTAGCTTTCTGAATATTGAATAGATCACACGGCTCACATGGCTTTTTGAGCTTGAGCTCGCATTGAGCAACGATGGCGCAAAAAGAATCTGGCCGATTTCGTCTTCTTTCAAGAATAGCCTTCAAACAGCCCAGATCTCCGCTGGATTACTAAATGTGGACCGTTTTGGAGAGCAAGGCTTGTGCTTCACACTTAGTAATCCAGATCTCCGCTGGATTACTAAGTGTGGACCGTTTTGGAGAGCAAGGCTTGTGCTTCATCTCACAGCTCAATCAACACTCTGAAGAAAGGCTCTTGTCAAAGCTTGGGATGTTCTTGATGACGACAACTTTCAGTAAACGGTCGATACTTTTCCTAATCGTCTCCATAAGTGCAAATGATGATGGAAATTGAGTTTTTTTGTTTTTTTATTTGATTTTTTGTTTGATTGTTTGTTTTAAATCTTTCTTAATAAAATTTGTTTTGAAAATCAAGTTATTTAACATGTAACAAGGCTTTTAAAGACGGTCTAGGAAAGCTAGGAAAGCTGAAGCTAGGAAAGCTAAAGAAGCTGAAGCTAGGGAAGCTAGGAAAGCTAGGAAAGCTGAAGCTAGGAAGCTGGCTAGGGCTGAAGCGCTGGCGGAAAGCTGAAGCAGGAGCTGGCGGGCTGAGCTAGGAGCTGAGCTAGGGCTGAAGCTAGGAGCTGAGCTAGGAAGCGGCTGGGAAGCTAGGGCTGAGCTAGGAAAGCTAGGAAGCTAGGAAAGCTAGGAAAGCTAGGAAAGCTGAAGCTAGGAAAGCTGAATTAGGAAAGCTGAAGCTAGGAAAGCTAAAGAAGCTGAAGCTAGGGAAGCTAGGAAAGCTAGGAAAGCTGAAGAAACAGGAATGCCAGAAAGATTTCTGTACAGTATGCTCAACTGCTCAACTGCTACTCAACTGCTGCTCAACTGCTCAACTTTTCAATTCACAAAGATAGCGCAGAGATGTAGAGAAGAATGCCATCGATTTCTCAAAATCAAAATTTCGCTCACAGAAGTTTTCTCGCTTATTTACACAGCGAATCCATCAAAAAGAGAGATTCAAAATTGCAAAAAGAGATTCACATATCGAGACAACAAAGCTTTTCCCCAAAAGTAATCGAAAAGCGAATGGGAAAAACGAAATGAAAAGAGAGAAAAGAGAAAATCGCTGGGAAAATGCTGAGAAAATCGCTGGGATCTCTGAAAAATATTGAACAAAATGGCGGCAAATAGACAAATAGAATTTGAGAAAATTTGAGTTTTGTAGTGATCGATTGTGCTCATCCATCCCAAGTTGACTTCTATTTCTTTGAAATTTATAATATTTATCATATTCAGCTTCACAAATGATGACAACTTGATGTTGATGATTCGTAGATGCTAACTGTCGTTCAGGGATTAAATGTACGGTAATTTGAAGCTTAATCACTCTCTCCATTCCATTTCTGGAAGCGGATACAAGTGTTAGCAGCAATTCTCCGCATCGCATCCATGATTATCGAGTTCTCTTCGAGATCTGAACACAGAGATATACAGAAGATGTATATTTTACGTCCGTTATTGAATCAATTCCATAACGGACTAGACATGGGCACTATAAACTACGAAAATGACAAACTGTCAGACTAAAAACTCTTCTAAATTGCTTCAAATCTGTTCGATTGACATGATCTATAGCTCAAAAAATAGAGAATCTCTAGAGCTTTCGAATGGACTAGTTTTTGTTACAAAAATTGAGCTAAAAGGCGTTCAGAAATCAGATTTTCACAAAAATGTGGATGTGAAAAGGTTCAGAGCTTGTTTTCTTAGTTTATTTTTTTCAGACTAAAGCGCTACAGAGTTTTAAAGTCTCCAAGGGATACGGGGATATGTTCTAAACGGACTCTAGGATCTAGAAAAGACATAAACTACAAAAATGACGAACTGTTATACTAAAAACGATTCGAACTTGCTTCAAATCTGTTCGATTGACATGATCTATAGCTCAAAAAATAGAGAATCTCTAGAGCTTTCGAATGGACTAAAGAACCCCGAAAAATAGAAATGCTAAAGAAAGTCACAGTGGTTTGTGGCCGACTACGCACTAGTCTGGTCCGTTTTAAGTCAAATTTTTGCTAGATCTAGCAAAGTGTGAACCCAGATGTGTCCAGAAGTCTCCAAGGGATACGGGGATATGTTCCAAACGGACTCTAGGATCTGGAATAGACATAAACTATAAAAATGTTGATGATTCGTAGATGCTAACTGTCGTTCAGGGATTAAATGTAGGGCAATTTGAAGCTTTCTTTCGGTTAATTCGACCTCTATCGACTAATCCATTTTCCTAAAAGGTACCAACTTCAGAAAAACTATCGTAATCCCACCAGTTTTCATTTAGGATTCGCCTAATTGTCATTTTGATGCCATTTTGATGCCATTTTGATGTCATTTATTGAGTTTTATAAATCCCACATCGAATGATACAAAAATTGAGCTGATCAAGTGAAAACTGATGGCCAGATTATGGCTATTGAGTCTAAAATGGATGCTTTTTTGCATACAGTGAGATTTAAGCGCTACTCTTACAGTAATCTCTAAGTCTCTAGTGTCTGCTCAGCTCAGCTCAGCTCAGCTCAGCTGCTCAGCTGTCACAGCTCAGCTACGTAACGTTTAGATATTTCAATTATCGTATGGTTTGTAAGAAAATTCAGATTTTTTCAAAGATGATCAAAAACTCTCCAAAGAACTCTCCAATTTTTGGCAAGAATAAAACCGAATAGCATACCAAATTATGCTATGAGTTCTTTGTAGAAAAAATACAATTATTTACATGAATAATTTGGTATAAACAAGCGCAACCTCTGTCCTAAATGTGAAAAAGAAAAACATATGGACAAAACAATCAATAATCTAACCAACGGGATTGAACCATTGACCTCTCGACTGATATAAATGGCTTTTAGCCAGTCGACCATGGGAGCTTGTGAATAATCAGTTTGAATTTTGATATCTTTAGTTCCAAGAGGGAGTTACCGGATTGCCAATCGAGGATCGCGGGGATCGCCGTTTCGAGCAAAGGAGTCGAGGGAGACAAGTCAGCGCACGGGACACGAGATACGCACGGTGTGTTGATCAAGAGTACTGCTGAGACTCGTTAATGACTTAAACTAATGTTTAAGCTCTTTGTTTAAGTCATTAGCTCTTGGCTGAAGTCATTAGTCCTTTGTTTAAGTCATTAGCTCTTTGTTTAAGTGATTAGCTCTTTGTTTAAGTCATTAGCTCTTTGTTTAAGTCATTAGTTCTTTGTTTAAGTCATTAGTTCTTTCTTTAAGTGATTAGCTCTTTGTTTAAGTCATTAGTTCTTCATTTAAGTCATTAGTTCTTTCTTTAAGTCATTAGTTCTTTCTTTAAGTCATTAGCCCTTTCTTTAAGTCATTAGCTCTTGGCTCAAGTCATTAGTTCTTCATTTAAGTCATTAGTTCTTTTCCTAAACTTATAGTTATTGCGATAAGTATGAAATGACGCTATTTGTCATGGTTCTGTCTGTCTGTCTGTCTGTTCTGTTTAAAACTCTACAATTCACCGATTGTTTACGATTTGTTTTATGAGAAATGCTTATCGTTTACATATTGCCATTTTTTAAAGCAAAATTGAGCCCCTGTTTTGAAGGAATTTTAAGGAAAAATTCCCATTTTTTTGTGAAAATTCGGAAAATTGACACAAAAGTAAATAGGCTGGAGAAATTGAAACGAAAAAGTTAGATATATATTAGGTTGATGCAAAAGTCTTTTTCATTTTTTTCGTACTTCTTTTGAAAAATAACAAAGTCATCAATTAACCTATGGTTTGCTCTAAATGAAAAGTGTTTATTGTTCAATTTGCCATCTTTTTAAGTCAATTTGGGTTCACTTTCAAGCGAATTCGAGAGTGAAAACGGGTTTTTCATAAAAATCTATAAAAACCTCTATAAAGAAATTGGCTGAATGAATTTCTCTGAAAATCTGAAAAAAATATCTAACTTTTTGTGCTCTATCTTTTATTTATTAACATCAAGATTGGTTTCCTTAGCTAAAGCGTCTAAAATGCATCATCGAGCCGTCGCCTTTTTTGACTACCCGACTTCAGGCTCTCAAAAAAATCTAGACATAAGACATTTTAAACTCGTTTTAATGTCATTTTGCAGAAAAATAATTGGCCTTTCGAATGCAATAAACC